TCTTGCTTACGTTTGTGGCTTGTGTTTAGTTTTGTAGAAAGATCCATTATCAGAATAGTATGGGTAGCTGTAGATAATGAGAACGAAATTTTTATTGTGTTTGAGTTGAGTGCCCGTTCTTCGAGAGATGACGTGAAATGAAGAGTTTGACAGAGAGAGTAAACGAGAAAGGGGAGAGAGAGAGAGAGAGAGAGAGAGAGAGAGAGAGAGAGAGAGAGAGAGAGAGAGAGAGAGAGAGAGAGAGAGAGAGACAGAGAGAGAGAGAGAGAGAGAGAGAGAGAGAGAGAGAGAGAGAGACAGAGAGAGAGAGAGAGAGAGAGAGAGAGAGAGAGACAGAGAGAGAGAGAGAGAAGTGGAGAGAAGGAAGGAGAAGGGAAGGGTGGTCGGGAAATGGAAACGGGGGATGTGAGTGAGGGAATGAATGGTTGGAAACTATTATCATGGGTGCTTGCAAGCAATGAATTGAAAGAAGCAAACTAGTGTTTGCGAGCAGCAAAATAGAGCACAAACAAGTGCATGCAAGCAGCCGCAACAAGTGGACCCACACCATCACCCACCATCACCATCACCCACCCACATCATCGTCACCCACCCACATCATCGTCACCCACACCACCATATCCCACCATCACAATACAACACCACACAGGGGACTCACGGTGTTGAGGGGACTGGAACAGGGAAGGAAGGGATGTGCGTCCTTCACCTCTCTCTTCTTGGCTCTCACTTGGCGTGGAACAGAGAGGGAGGAGTGCGCTGCGGTGAAACCAACAACAAGCACCCAAGTGGTTGTTTGTGGTGAAAGTAGAGTAGAGGTGTTGTTGTAGCTGTTGCTGCTGTTGCTGCTGTTGTTGATTAGGGTGGTGTGATCGATGATTTGATCGGGGGGGGGGGGCAGATGTGAACCGTGAGTGTGTGGGGAGATGGCGCTGCACCACGCGCACAAAACAAAGTGGTGGTGGTGTCAAGGGGAAGGCGGAACAAAGGAAAGTGAGGGTGGTGATTCTGTTGTCAGCAGCAACTTGAGATAGATGGAGAGAAACTGAGGTGCGTGTGCCTGCAACGACGCCCACGACGACGACGAGGCTGAGGAACGAGGCAGGATGGATGGAATGGCAGTACAAGAAGCGCAGGCACGCACGCATTCGCCAAATACCAATCGCACTTTTTTTTCCTGCTTTGTGCCTTGCTTGCTTGCTTGCCGGGTTTCTGTGGCGTTTTGTGACTGGCAGTGCTGCGTAAGTTTTTGCTTCTGCGTCTTGTGTGTGTGCGTGCGCATGGTTCTTTGGGAGATGCCAGTGTTGGCACGCCAACACTGTGGTGGAGGGGTGTGTGGAATGCGAGCTGGCAGGTTGCCTCAGCTCCTGCCACTGGAGGCATGGCAACTTTGTCAGTTGGCAGGCAGGAATGCCCCGCATGCGTTCGCTGCCTCGAAACAGCACGAAATGGAGCGAATTTGCCTCTCCTTGAAGGTCTTTGGTGCGCAAAGGAAAGGGTTTTGCGGGCAAGCCAAGCGTGGGCAAAACACGCGTTTCGGGTGGCGAGGGCGCGAAGCGTTGGAATGGCAAACGCACCACAACAACAGCCGCTGTTGCATGGAGATATGCTAACAATGTGAACCACTCCCAGACAACCACCAAGAACAAGCGAAGCAAAGCAAAGCAAAGCGAAGCATAGCAAGCAAGACCTCTTTCGTCTTCACCACTTGCATCTGTTGTGCTGGCTTGTTTGCTTGTCCCCCAACCGCTTGGCGTCAACGGCACGCATGCAGCAGACATATTTGCCGAACGCGCCCTCTCCCTCTCTCTCTGTCTGTTATTCAGCGCTGACTGCGTTTGCGTCAAGCCAGTTTGTTTGTTTGTTTGTTTGTGTGGGTGGCTTGGTCAACCACACTCTCCCTGTCACACATCGACACACACACACACACACACACACACACACACACATACACACACACACACACACACACACAACATCTCACTGCTTCTCATTCCCTGACTCGCTTTGTTTGCCTGCAAGCAAGCAAAGTCCCACGTCCCCCCCCCCCACACACACACACACATTCCTGGGCCACGCGCCATTGCACGAGAACCCACGTCGTATCCAGCCAAAGCAACACGATACCCATCGCTTGCTTGGCAATTGATCGGCCGTTGCTTGCTCTGCTGGGGGCTGCCATATTCTTCTCCCCTGCCCTCTTCTCCCTCTGCCCCCTGTCTTTTTTTTCCCTTCCTTGGCTTCTGCAGCACCAATTGCTGGCAAGGTAAGAGTGAAGAGTCGCCCCTCGCATGCGTTGGTTGTTCGCGTTGGTTGTACTACTGCCTGATTGGCTTGATTGTTGCGACCCCCCTCCCCCAACTTGGATGGGCTTGCCCCGCAGACTTCTTGTTGTGGGTGGCCTGTCTCTCTGTTTGTTCGTACACCTGTTCGTTGCTCTCTGTCTGTCAGTCTGTCTGTAAGGTTGCTTGCTGAGGACAGCAAATGGGGGCTACGTAGTGGTCCACGCTGGTGACTGTCCCATGCAAGCAAGCTTCTTGTGTCTCTCCATTTCGTAGTCTGCCATGCCTTTACCACACCAACCAAACCTTCTCCCTCCTTCACACGCTCGCTCACTCGCTCACCGACTCACGCCTTGCACTCTTCATTTCCCCCTCTCAATTCCCTGCAAACACACACCTTACAGACACGTCGGGCGCGAGCTCGCCTTGCATTGATTCATTCACACATCCAATCATAATACACAGCGGGTGAGTGTCGCTATTGCTCCTCTTGTGTGTGTGTATATGTGTGTGTATGTGTGTGTGTGTGTGTGTGTGTGTGTGTGTGTGTGTGTGTGTGTGTGTCGTGTGGCGTCCTGGCGTCAACAACAGAACACCAACACCACCACCTCCGCCACGACGACCACCACAATCGATGGCGATGCGCGTTTGTTTGTTGTCTTCTCTGTGTCATGTGTTGAGAGGATGCGATTGCCAACTTTGCTACGTGTCATTCTTGATGTTGTTTTGTGTTTTGGTTGTGATTTCACGTTGGCGTGCGCATCCCTTTCCATCTCTCCATGGCCCCATCACTCAATCACCCCATCACTGATGCCCTCATGTACATGATGCGTTTGCAGCCCACTTCATCCATCCGTTCATCCCCGACCGGCACCGAGGCATACATATTAGAGCAGTAGACCCACATCCGAACCACTCAGCCACTCCAAGACTCCATCATGCAGAAGAGGGGCTGGTCACGACACCAACCACACTGGTCATCAGGTTCCTCTATGGGGTGGTCCGCAGCGGCAGCAGCGTTGGTGCTGACAGTCCTTGCTGGATGTACACCTGAGCCAACACAGGCTGCGCTTCCACCGCGTGGTGGCGGCCCATATCTTGCATGGCCCACCACCCGCAGCGATCCCGGAAACTTCGACTTCAAGTGCGTTTTGGTGCCTGCTGTTTCGTTCCCTGGTCGTGTGCACGCGTGTGTTGTGTGCGCGCTTGCATGCGCATGTACGCGTGTGTTGTGTGCGTGCTTGCGTGTGCATGTACGCGTGTGTTGTGTGCGTGCTTGCGTGTGCGTGTACGCGTGTGTTGTGTGCGTGCTTGCGTGTGCGTGTACGCGTGTGTGTTCTGCTTGCCTCGTCCTCCCTCTTCTCCTCCCCCTTTGCCATCGCCCCGTCCCACCTCAGTCCTCCCTCCAATGACATCCACAACTCACACCAACTCCTTCCCTGTTTTTTTCTTTTTTTTTTTCCTTTCTTCTCAGCTGGAACGGGCGCTTTGATGCGGGCGGACGAGATGTTGTGCGGAACAACACGCCAAACGATGTGTGGCCCTCACGCGACAGTGCGTACACCGCTGCCCGCTACGGCTACTGCGGCGGTGTTGCCGGCAGTGTGCCAGACTTTCTCACCCCAGAGACGGTGTCTGCCACCCTCACGCCGGGGCAAACCCTCAACATGACCTTCATCACCGACGAGGACACGCCACCCGGACACGTGGTCTTCAGCATCTGCGATCGTACGTCTGAGGGGGGCTGTGCGATCGGTGTGCCATGGTGTGGCCGACGCGTGTGCGCGTCTGCTTCAGTTTGTGTGTTTTGTCACTTTGCTCGCATCATCATCACAGCCACACTCACGCTTTTGATTGCCCGTTTCTCTCTTGACTTGTGTGTGTCTGTCTCTGTACACACATATATACATACATGTACACATATGTATGCACACACACATACACACACACACGCACGTACACATACACGTACATATACACAACACAACACACACACACACACACACACGCACGTGCACACACACACACACACACACGCACGCACATACACACACACGTACATATACACAGGGGCAACCAATGTGTCGCAGGAGTGCTTCAACGAACACCTGTTGCGACGCGTGGAAGACGGCAACCTGATTGACTTTAGCTGGGACGAACGCTTCTTCGTCAAGCCAGGTTTCGGCGTGTACCACCCGACATTTCACATGCCGGAACAGCTCACATGCAGCCACTGCGTGCTTCAGGTGAGCATGAGCCTGTGCGTGCTCTGTGCGGTGTGTGCAAATGCTTGCTTGTGCGTGTTTGATTGTGTGTTTGTTTGTGTGCTTGGAAGGTGGCCGTTACTCACAAGACTTTGTATATGTTGCAATGTGTGTTGTTCAGTGGCACTTTGTGGGTGCAGGCGAGTGTCTGCCTCACGGGTATGTGTCGTTCGGCTTTCCAGCAGAGTACGGCATTGACAAGAACAAGCCCGCGTGTGGAGATGTGTTCCCCGAGGAGTTTTGGGGCTGTGCCGATATTGCCCTTCTTCCCCAAGACAACCCACAAGGTACGCAGCTCACAGTTCACAGGTGCATGCGTCTGCTTGACATCAAATACCATTCTGTGTGGCGATATGTACGCCTCAAACGTTTAATGCACCCACATGAACACCAAGAGCAGCAGCAACCGCACTGCACAATTTTCTTTGCTTGACTTGCCGCATCTGTCAGCTCACCCACACACACACGCACACCCACACGCACACACACAACACATCGTACGCACACACACACAACACATCGTACGCACACACACACACAACACACACACACACACACACACACACACACACACACACACACACACACACACACACACACACACGCACACACACACGCACCCATGCAGGCCTTCCCTGTGACGACGAGGATCAGTCTGGCTGCATGGTGGTGCTTGGCTACTTCGCTTCGTGGTCGTACCACCGCCCTGCGCCATACACGTTCATGATTGAGCACATTGACGCCGGCAAGTACACCCACCTCGCTTATGCGTTTGCGGGCATCGATGCGGACTACACCATCATGCCTGGCGAAGCCGTGGACGTGGATGGCGGCCGGTACGCCCTCTTTCACACGCACGTGCGTCAGCGCAACCCCAACATCAAGACGCTCCTGAGCGTTGGCGGCTACACCTTCAACGCAGACTCGCGCACGCAGTACCGCTTTTCCACCATGGTCGCATCGCAGCAGCGCCGCGCCACCTTCATCGCCTCCCTCATCCCGTTCCTCCGCACACACGACTTTGACGGCGTCGACATCGACTGGGAGGTGTGTAAGGAGTGAGTAAGGAGTGAGTGAGTGTGTGTGAGTGTGAGTGTGTGTGTGAGTGAGTGTGAGTGCGAGAGTGTGTGTATATGTGTGTGTATGTGTGTGTGTGTGAGTGTGAGTGTGTGTGTGTATGTGTGTGTGTGTGCGTCTGTGCTGTGCTGCACGTGTGTTGTGTGCTGTACTTTGACAATGTGTTGTTCATGTGTGCCTTCATGTCGTGAGTTACTTGCATGTGTGTGCAAGGTGTGTGCATGTGTGACTTGGGAACTGGGTGGCAATTTCAAATGTGTGAGCTGGCGCATGCTCGCGCTCCAGTGGCTGCGTGTCTCCTGTTTAGTTTCCGCCTCCGCCCTTCTTTGTTCCCTCCCTCCTCACCATTCATCGCAACCCTCCCCCCCCCTATCTCGAACAAACCACCACCAGTTCCCGGGCTATCTGCAGAACGGCGGCAGCCCACAGGACCGCGACAACTTCCTCACGTTCCTGCAGGAGCTGCGCCAGGCCGTGAACAGCGAGGTCACACAGAAGGATGCGCTTATTGTCACCGTGGCCGTGTCCGCGTACAGGGGCATTGCAGAGCAGGCCTACCACATTCGCGAGATGCACAAGTACATTGACTTTATCAACCTCCTCTCCTACGACTTGCACGGCTACTGGGAGGTTAGTGTTGCGTTACTATTGCACGAAACGACAGCGCCAACAACAGCTCTTGAACATGACTTGCTGCCAACAACACAACAATGCACACACATGCACACAGGTGTGCTCATTTCAACTGCAACAACGCGCGCATGATCACCTCTACCCTCCCCGCACACACACACACACACACACACACACACACACACACACACACACACACACACACACGCTCGCGCGCACACACACAATCACACGCGCACACACAATCACATGCACACATACACACACACATGCACACTGCTCACGACCCCTATTTTCACCCTCTTGTTTTCTCTTCAGCCCCAAACTGGCGCCCACACCGCGCTGTCATCCACGGATGGCATTGACGTGCAGGACAGCGTCGCCTTCTGGCTGGAGCAAGGCACACCGCGCCAGAAGCTGCTGCTTGGCTTTGGCACCCACGCGCGTGGCTGGACCCTCGACTCGCCGGCCAACCACGCCATTGGCGCACCCGCCTCCAGCCCATCTCGCCCCGGCCCATACACGGACGAGGCCGGGCTGCTTGCCTACTACGAGGTGCTGGAGTTTGAGCAGGCGGGCTTCATCACCCGCTTCGACAACCTCACGCAGACCATGTACACATATTACGGCGACCAGTGGTTCTCCCACGACTCGCCCTTCACCATCAAGCTCAAGGCCGAGTTTGCGCTCTCGCAGGGTCTCGGTGGCGCCATGGTGTGGTCCATTGACCAGGACGACTTCCTGTACGGATCTCCGCTTGTCCAGGCCATCCGCGACAACCTGCCCATTTCGCCACCGCCACCGCCGGCGTCGGACGGCGACCCTCCGCTCAACCTCACCGAGATTATCATCATCGCCGTGGTTGGCGTGCTGGCGCTCATTGCGTTTGTGGTGCTGTTTGCCTCGTGCAACAAGCACGCGCTGTCGAGCAAGCCCACGCTGGACAACAGCGGCGTTGGCGCCGAGTACGACACGCCCGTGCCCGTCATTCCCGTGCTCAAGCTGAGCGAGGACGACCTGGAGTCTGAGACGTCGACCGATGACAGCAGCAACGGCACCGACGGGCTGCCGCGCCGCCGCCGCCGCCTCAAGCCGCGCTACTACGACCTGGGCGAGATGGAGGACGAGGAGGACCCGATGCAAAAGGCCGAGGACTATGTCACCACAAAGGACGGCGTGCTTGTGGACACGGACGGGCGCATGGTGGCGCGCTTCCACGACGGCGAGCATGACGAAATTTACGACTACGACCAGAGGCGGCGGCGGGAAACGGATGCAGCGCACAGGCGCGCACAGGCGGAGCTGGTGGCCATGAGGAACGGCAAGTACGTGGCACGCCACTACGACGATGAGGACATCACGGTCTAGCGCTGTTCGGCGACATGAGCTTTGTTTATTGCACACGCGCGATGCGTGTGCTTGAAAGAAAATGCCATCACTGAAGACGTTGTTGGCTCGCCGACCACTGCTGCTCTTCTCAGAACTCTAGCTTTGTTTTTCAAATCGTTTGCCTGATGTTTCTGTTGTCTTGGTCTGTGTGTGTGTGTGTGTGTGCGTGCGTGTGCGTGCGTGTGTGTGCGTGTGTGTGCGTGTGTGTGCGTGTGTGTGTTGGGTGATTGGTGCCGTGCGATGGGGTCTTGCTGTTATCTGCCTCGGGAGCTGCCGTGTATTTGTTTGTTTGAATCGAATGGCTTGTGCTTGCGTGGTCTCGTGTGCGTGTCTGTGTGCTCGTGTGCACTTCCCATGTGTTTTTCCTTCTCTCAACTGTTGAATGCCTGCGATGATTTCTGTTGATCCTTCTTGGCTCGTGTCTATTGTGTCTCCTGTTTGTGTAGTGCGTTTCATTTGCGGCATGCATCTAATGTAAACGATCCGCCCGTCATCACGACAGCACCAAAGTTGACCGAGTGCGAGAGAGTGAGTGAGTGAGTGAGTGAGTGTGAGTGAGTGAGTGTGAGTGAGTGAGTGTGAGTGTGTGTGTGTGTGTGAGTGTGAGTGTAAGTGTGAGTGAGTGTGAGTGTGAGTGTGAGTGTGAGTGTGTGTGTGTGTGCGTGTGTGTGTGCGTGTGTGTGTGCGTGTGAGAGAGTGAGTGTGTGTGTGTGTGTGTGTGTGTGCGTGTCGTACGACTCGGCATCCAGTCGGAAGGTGTGGGTCATTTATTCAGAGCTGTCCCAACAGTTGTCCAGAATCGCAAGGCACGTCATGCAAAACAAACACACGCGCACTAATGTAACAGGAATACTCTTGGAACAGCCTTTTTGATCATTAGTCAAGCTAAGGGAGAGCTGATGTGGTTGCCGTTGCTGTTCATGTTGCAATTGCAGGTGTGAGTGCCGCCTTGTGTTTCGATCGTCTGCTGGCGCCTTGGCTCTTGTTCAACAGGATGTAGACTACGGCGATGGTGTTTAGGAGGGTTAGCGCCAACAATGCAGGCAGCACCACTTGCGCAGGCAGGCCAGGAAGCACGAGCATTGAAGCCGGTGTGCCTGACAGCAGCGGCTGCTGCTGATGTGACGGCGGTAAAGACACAGGCATACGCTGCGCACGGCTCTGCGCCCTGCCACCAAGGTCCACGCATCCGCAGTCGCTGAAACAGACGGTGGCTGGAATGCTCGTGTACAGGACGGATTCCTGCTGGTAGTCGCGCATGTAGTCTTGTGTGATGGCCTGGATGCGCTCAGCGAAAACTGGGGTGTCGGGGTGATAGACGAGGAGGTACTTGGATCGCTCGCGAACGTCCGTGTGCGTGACACGGCTCAGGTAGGACCCAGTTGCGTTCGTTACCGTGGTGCCGTTTGGAAACCGCGGCAGCACGGACAGCGCCATGAACCGCTCAAACTCGGCCTCCGTTATGTTGCGCACCGTGGTCCCGTGTTTGTTCTGTACAGACAGCCCAAACAGCATCTCCGTCTTTCGCCACGCCACAGTTCCCGCAGTAAACGTGGCGCTGCTGTCTGCCGCAAAGACGGGTATGCTCTCCCCGCGATTCTCAGCGACAAGAGGGCGTTCACTTCCAGCAGCGGGGAGAGGCCGTCCACTGCCACCACTGCCACCACCACCACCACCACCACTTTTCTGGCTGTCACTCCGACGATCACTATCACTGCCCCGACCATCAGCTTGCCGGGACGGGCACGACCACGGCCGATGAAACACAGCCCACTGGTGCAATTCTTGGTGCTCTGGTCTTGTTGTCTCTAGCTGCTCTGGATCAGCAGCAGCAGCTGCTGCTGCCCGCATCACTCCATCTGCATTGTTGACGACGGCGACCATGACGGCTGCCACCGCCACCACAGCACATCTCATCTTGTTCCGCCAAGTGTCGAATGCCATGTAAAATTTACCATACTTTTCCACAACCGCAACAGCAAAACAAACGACAAGAGAAGAAGCAAACAGGAGCAGCCAGTGCAACCATCACATCATGCCTTACCGCGGTGAGTGCTGTCGTTGTTTTTGCTGCTGGCGTTGCTGCTGCTGGCGTTGTTGTTGCTGGTGTTATGTGTGCATGTGTGTGCATTTGTGCATGTGTGTGCGCATGTGCGTGCACTTGTGTGGTGGGAGTGACAGCGTGTTCCATGTCCAGTTGTCGTTGCGATGGCTGTGGCTGACTGTGGCTGGCAACAACTGGTACGTGTGTTGTGTTCGTGGTGCTGTGATTGCCCATGTAGCCATGCACATCCTCGTGAAGCACGAGGAGTCTCGCCGTTGCTCGTCTTGGAAGGACGAAGAGGGCAAGACGATCCGATCGCGCACCAAGGAGCAGGCCGACGACATGCTTCGCGAGTTCAAGCGCCAGTACGTAATCATGTTGTGTGTGTGCATGTGTGCATGTGTGTGCATGTGTGCTTGCATGCTTATTTGTGCACGTGTGTGCTTGTGTGTGCTTGCATGCTTATTTGTGCATGTGTGCTTGCATGCTTATTTGTGCGTGTGTTTTACTGTGTATGTTGTGTTTGCTGCGAAAGGCAACGATGCTACACCCATCCCCAGCTCATCATTCGTTGCCTTCCCCCCCAATCTTTCTGTCCGACAGGATTGAGGCGGGCGAGAAGTCATTCGAGGACATTGCGCGCGTCGAGTCCGACTGCGGCTCTGCCGCTCAAGGAGGTAGGTACAGCCATGACCAACCTAGCACTGCGAACAAACAAACATGTTGCATGTTTTGTGCGTGCGCGCGCGTGTGTGTGTGCGCGTGCCTACACCCAACGTGCACACACACAGACACAGATACACACACACACACACAGACACAGACACAGACACACACACACACACACACACACACACACACACAAATATGCTTCCGTTGCTTCAGCTTAGTGCTGCCCCTTACGCCCCAACTCATGACAACAACTTGTACATGCAAACATGATTGTCATCATGCCATTGTGACAATTGCAGGCAACATTGGAGAGTTCACCCAGGAGGAGATCCAGGCGCCCTTCTTCGAGGCGTTCATCAAGCTCAAGCCTGGCGAAATGAGCGACGTCGTGCACACAGACTCCGGCTCCCACATTATCAAGCGCCTCGAGTAACGTGACATGAAGCACGGGGAGGGGGAAACGCCACAAAACAAGGAATGCAGAAGTAACATATTGTAACTGCGCACAGCAGTCCACTTGATTCGTTGCGCCTGCCCGCTTCCTTCTCCCTTGCCCTGGTCCCTGTTTCCACCATGCCCTTGTTTTGTTTTGTTATGTGCTATCATCCTGCTCTGCGTGTCAGCCAGCCAACACCCCTGCACTGCTTGCGCCCACCACATGTTCTTCTGAGCCATTGCGGCCGTCCAAACCACTTCAGCAACACCCGCATACTCCCATAAACGCAACCAACACCGAAGAATGAGCTTGACAGCGCAGAAGAGTGGACCAAGGTCGTACCGTGTACACATGTATGATGGATGCACAATCATCCAGGAGGGGGGGAGAAGGCGTTGAAACAGGGGCATGTGGCAGTGGGTCGAAACGGAATACAGCATGCGCCCAGACAAACAAGGTTTCGGCAAGGGCGCGTACACAGAGATTAGGGCACAGACAGAGAGACACACTGACTGAAGCCAGGCATCAGAGACAGCCAGTCAACCAAACTTACAGACAGACAGACAACCAAACTTACAGACAGACAGACAACCAAACTTACAGACAGACAGACACACAGATGCAAGGAGTTGTGTGGTTGTTACTTCTTCCCCTTTGCCTTCTTGCCCTTGCGGACTGCGTTGACCTGTGCCCGCCGCTTCATCTGGTCCTGCAGCTTCTGCTTGCGCTTGCGCTCCTTGATAATCTGCGACTTGTGCTTCAGCTCGCCGCCGCGCTTCGCAGCCTGCCGCGTGATGTGATGGGTGGTGCAATGAGCAGAGTTGTTGTGGTGAGCGTGTCACAAATGTGGTGAGCGTGGATCGAACTGCAAACATGCAGCAACCCAAAGAACGCATCACACAATCAGCTGTACCCAGCAGATTTGTCACCACCAGCATGCACGCACCTTCGCCTTCAGCTCATCGTCAGCAGTCTTCGTGTGCCATCCACGCCTGCACGCACACGCACACGCACATAGATGCAGTGTGAGATGAAAGCGTCGTACGTGGGTGTCGAGAAGGCATGACAAACGTGCATGATCGCAGCCGTGATGCAACACACAGCACATGCATCTGGGCAGCTCAACATGCACACAAAATGAAAACGGCCGGCGAGCTCTCACCTTTTCCGCCTGATCTCAAACTTGCTCACAGTTTGCGAATCCTCTTCTTCACCAACGTGTTGCCTGCAGGCATCAACGACGAGCAAGAGGCAGACAAAGTGTGTGACAAAACGCGGTGACACGCGCAACGCCGTGAGATAATCAGCAGGGTAAAGGTTACTCAAGCGCAGAGACGAAAACAGTGCGCTAACACCAGAACAGAAGTGACGACAGCAAACCCACAGCCTGGCCGTTGGTGCGCTGGCGGCACGTACATTGAGACGTGGTTCTTGGCAGACCACTCCTTGTAGCGGTTCGACTTGAATGTTGCCGGCACCTTGTTCCCGCTCTCTGTGCGGATCATTTTCGTGTTGTTGCTCTCTCCAACAAACTTCTTCTTCTTGCGGTCCCTGTACACGAAAAAAAAGGGGGGGGGGGGCAACAGCAGGGCCACGACGGGCACGAAGATGAGTGAGTTCACATCGCCCGGGCAAGGTCGAGGTAGGAAGACAACATTGGCCGGCAAACAAAATGGTCATGCATACACACAGACAGAGAGGCGTGCGCAGACAAAGAGAGACGCACGGACAAACACGGACACAGAGACATAAATAAGTACACACAGACACAAACAAACAAACAAACAAACAAACAAACAAACAAACAAACAAACAAACAACAAACCATACACACAAACAATACACACGCACACACAAACAAACAAACAAACCATACACACAAACAAACAAACAAACAAACAATACAAACAAACAAACAAACAAACAAACAAACAAACAAACAAACAAACCATACACACAAACAATACACACACACACACCATTTCTTCCGCTGTGAGGACTTGTGCATGTCTTGGATATCGTCGCCGTCAAGAGCAAACGTGGCGCTCTCGGCCTCGCGCGTAAACGACGCCCCGTTGTTGATGGCGTACCCTTGCTCATCCTCATCATCCCCGCGCCTGTATGGGATGTACACCTCCGCATCTTCCCCTGCATCGCCAGCACTGCTCGAGTGCGACACCGTCACCCGCTGCCCATGCGACATCACGCTCTTGGATGACGATGACGACGATGACGATGAAGATGAGGGCTGTGCTGTTCCGAGGACAGTGGCACCGGCTGTTCCTGGAAGCAGGCCGGCCTTGTTTCTCCCGGGCGCAATGATGTTTGAGAAAGCGGACGTGATTTCCTCGGATGTGCTCGCCTCAAGCTGCGCCTCGCGTGTGTGCGACGTCAGCGATTTTGCGCCCAGCAGCTCCTTCATGCGCTCAGTGCGATCCCAGACATACGACTGATCCTTTGCCCTGTGGCACAGCAGATGGGACAAGTGACAGTGCCGGAATGGTGCGTGTGCGTTAACGCAGGGAACGAACGAACGGAGAAAGCACACATACACACACATATACTCAGGGGTAGAGACACAGAGGGACGGACAGAGAGGCAGAGAGACGGACACACACAGACGGACACACAGACACACACACACGCACGCACGCACACACACACAGACACACACACACGCACGCACGCACACACACACACACACGCACGCACACACACACACAGATAGACACACACACACACACACACACACACACACACACACACACACACACACACACAAGGAACCTCTCTTGTTGCCACGCCCTATCTCTAACCTCTTCTTTGTCATCATGGTGAGGAGGGAGTCGTTTGCGTGCTTGTTGACCTCAAACACGGTGAGCGAGGGCCGGAAGTTGCGAATGGACTTGATAAAGTCATCTCTCGCAATTGCATCGCTCGATGTGTCACGGAGCATCGGGTGCACGTGGTAGCCAACCTGCCGCGACAACAATGGTGGTGGTGATGTGAGCAAGGACAGGGCGTAGCAAGCCGCGTTCTTTGATCTCTGGCATCATAGCGCCATACAAACGCGCAAACGCTCGCACACAGCCACGCACAGCCACGCACAGCCACACATGCACATCAACATGCACCTCCTCGAGCTGCTTTGCACGCTTCACGCTGGCCTGTGCAGGATCAGGGCGCGACCTGACAAGGGAGTGAGAGAGTGTGTGCGCGTGTGAGTGTGTGTGTGCGCGTGTTCATGCTTGAGTAATGATGAGTGGTGCAGCATAGATTGCTCGTGTACAAGCGTTGACGGCCAAGAGCGCAGACCACGTGGGGAACCTCACTTGTCGTATTGTTTGTAGCCGTTCTCGACGACATGGAAGAGCGAGTCGAGGTCACTGTGTGTGCGGTGCGTCGTGTGCACCAGCTCACGGTACTCATCAATCAGTGCCTACTCAACACAACCACAGGCAACACGCAACGGGCTGGCGTCAGTCGAAATCGACGCAGAGGCACGCGTGTACATTCTTGTGCGTGTGCATGTGTGAGTGCGTGCATGTGTGTCACTCTGTTACAGCCGCAAATGCAACTAACCTGAGGGAATCGGCCAAAGACGCCATCCTGGTCTGCGGGCGTTGTTGAGATGGCCGCGGCAAACGGGCGCCCCAGGAACGTGTGCAGGTCAATCAGATGCGCAACCTGAGAACCAAGCGCCGCATCGTCATCACCATCATCGGTGGGTGTCAGCAGGTGTCATGGGTCTGTTATGAGTTCAAAAATAGAGGCAGGAGGAGCACAGGGGGGCCGCATCACATGCAAACCAACACGTACACACCAACCGAGCCTACAGGGCCTCCACTCCACCTCTGCATGCGTGTGCGTGTGTCTCCAAGTCTGTTTCTCTCTGTCTCCACCCAATTCCTCCTCTCCATCACCCGTCGATCTGTCCCCTAATCTCCCTCCCGACTACACTTCCCTCCCACGTCACCGCACCTCATCGACGGCAACGAGGCTGTACGCGGTACCAGATCGGCCTGCGCGCGCCACGCGACCGACGCGGTGCACGAACAGCTTTGGGCGCCGTGGGAAATCGTAGTTGACGACATAATCGAGCATGGGAATGTCGATACCACGTGCTGCAACGTCCGTCACAAGCAGAAGCTTCACTTTCCCTGCCCGAAACTTGGCAATGTTGATCTTGCGCGCTGAGCAAGCGAATGGGGGGGGGGAGGGCGATGAGCATGCAACGGGAGCGTTGTTGGTGGCAAAGGACGCGAGAGTGGTTGGTGGTGTTCGTGGTTGCGGTGAGAGCAAGACAAAATACGCGTATGGGGTGCAGGATAGCAAGTGGGCGACAAGCGGTGATGAGGATATAATCACGCAGAGACAACTGATGGTGTAGCACCTGTTGGGTCGAGGTTGCCATAGCTGTATGTGCAGGGAATCTGCAGTGCCTCCAGCAGCACCTGCCATTCACACACGCATCGGTGTTTTGTGCGTGTTTTGTGAGCATGTGTGTGTGCGTGTGTGTGTGTGTGTGTGTGCATGCGTGTGTGCACTTATGTGCGTGCGTGTGCGTGTGCGTGTGTGTGTGTGTGTGTGTGTGTGTGTGTAAGCCGTGTGCTGCTCGTCTGGCGTATGCATGTACCTTGAGGTACTCGATCAGGTGTTTCGTGGAGACGAAGACAACCGTCAGCTTTCCGCGTGGAATCACATTCTGTTATGCAGCGCACAAGCGACCAATCAGCATGTGTGAGAAGGTGTGTTAGTGTGGGTGCACATGCACGTGTGTGTGTGGTTTCGCGCTCACAAGTGTGAATGAAATTTGGGTGCTGTTGTGGAGTGTGAAGAAGAAGCCCACCGTGAGCAAATAGATGAGGCCTGCTGGCTTGTCCGCGCGACGGCAATGCACATATTGCGTTCTGAAGGGCGCACACAACAACGATGGTTGCCATTAATACTGGCGGGAACCGCATGCAAACACAACCGCAATAGGCACACGCATACACGAGTACAAACATACGAACACACAATTGCACAGCAAACCCCATGTCCGCGTACAGCCACATTACAACCAAACACACACACACACACACACACACACACACACACACACACACACACACACACACACACACACACACACACACACACACACACACGTGTACACAAGCGTGCGCACCTGAGCTGCTCGCTGAGTTTTGTGTCTGCATCCAAGCGCACGAGCGTCGGCTGCTTCAGACCGGCCCGCGCAAACTCAATCTGAACAGCAGCACACGGCATGGTGGTGTGAGGTCGAGAGGAGCAGGCAGGCAGACAGACGGCCACACACACACACACACACACACACACACACACACACACACACACACACACACACACACACACACACATACACGCACCAGTTTCTTTGGGAGGGTGGCTGAGAAGAGGAGGGTCTGTCTGTCTTCCGGCAGCCGCATGAGAATTTCCTTCAAGTGCTCCTCAAATCCCTTTTCAAACAGCCTGCGTGGTTGCACAGCGTCAGTTTCAGTCTGATCGAATCTCAGCCACAACCAGCACAACCCACAAGACGGAAGCATGTACAGGTACACATAGACACACAGTCAGACATACAGAGACACGCAGACACACAAACACATGCACGCACACATCGACACATATGCACTTACTGGTCTGCCTCGTCAAAAACGACGTATTCCACGGCCTTGAGCGAGAGCTCCATCTCCACGAGGAGATGCAGGAAGCGACCGGGGGTGGCCACAATCACATCCGGGTTGGCGTGCATCCATCCAAACTGGTCGTCCATGCTGGAGAGGGTGTGTGTGGATGTGGCAGAGGAACGGGGCAGCAAGCAATGACAACAACATCAGTCCATGCTGCAAAACAGAAACAGGAACCCGGACAGACCACAATCACGACCGCGAAGCACAGACGGACAGACAGACAGACGGACGGACAGACGGACGGACGGACAGACAGACAGACACACAGACAGACACATACACACACACAGACAGACAGACACCCAAACACACACACTCACTTGTCACCACCGAGGATGAGGGCAACGCGAAGGTCGGTTCGGCGTCCCAACTCCTTGATGAACTTGAACGTCTGCTCAGCGAGCTCGCGCGTTGGGGACATGACCAGTGCACGAATGCCAACCTACGTTTGCATCCCACACATGCGATTGCAGGTGAGTGTTGCACCAGCAGGGCAGCATTCAGGGAATGCTGTTGTCAAGAGCACAGTGGCAGAAGCAGCAGCAGCAGCAGCAGCAGCATCAGAACACAGCCGCCGCCATGTCCAGCAGGCTGCAGACTTTTTAACCTTGGCGCTGTGGGATTTGAGCTTCTCAAGCATTGGAATGACAAACGCTGCTGTCTTGCCGGAGCCTGTTCGCGCCATACCCACGACATCTTGACCTCCAATGATCAACGGAATGGTCCTGTTGCCACATCATCACACATTGCAGGAAGTGCAGAATCCAAACAAGGTCAGACAACATAACAACAACAACAACAAACAGCAGCTGGGCGTCATCCTTCAAGTGCTGAGTGGGCATGATACATTGGGATCGCGCTCGAATAGAGCATAGCATGTACGTACTTGCGCTGAATCGGTGTGGGCACCTTGTATCCTTTGTCCATGATGCCTCGAAAAACTCCTCGTGACAGCCCTATCCTCCCCAGCACACGCCAACCC